GTCATCCTCAACCTTGTCATCTTTCGTCTTCTTTTCCTTCCTCCCTTTGCCTTTCACCTTTTCCTTGTTCTCGTTCTTGGTCTCTTTATTGTCACTTCCGGTCATCCGGCTCTTGTCCTGGTCTCCTTTTTTCTGGTTTGCTTTTACGGTCCTGTCCTCAGTCTCCTCAACGTCGGAGTTGTGAAGAGCCTTCTTTGCTTGCCCTTTGACTTCCGACCCTTCCTTCTCTTTTGTACTCTCATCAGTCTTCTTCGCTTTCCGACCTTTTGGTTTCTCAGCCACGGCTAGCTCGGCGAGTGGCCTCCCTACAGCAGCCGCAACTGCAAGCTTGCGCTTGGATTGAGCATCAAGTTTGGCTGGTGGATCCCTTGAATCAACTTTGTTTTTGCGGCTTTTGCGATCTGCAGGACCAGGAGCACCTTCACCATCTTCCTTGTTGCGATGTCCTCCCTTCGCCTGGACAAGGCAGGCGGGTAAACAGAATGCCAGTTGACATATGGAGGGAATTCGCTCGCAGGGTGTGTTTTAACTACTACATGAAATTGTTTGGTTGTTACGATTGGTCGATTGTGTGGGCCATTGGAAAACCACTTGTCCCTATGGCGACTATCTTGGAATAAACCCCTGGAATCGGACAACTGGCCTTTGATTCAGCTTTTTGTTCATTTGCTGCTGCAGCATCCTCATCATTTGATTCTTCCGGAAGGTCTTCATATTCATCAGACAGCGACTCTTCTGAATCCAAAGGATTGGATTCTTCATCATCCTCATGGTCTTTCTTCTTTCCTCCCTTTCCAGCCTTTACCTTCGCCTTTGCCTTTGATGCAGTCATCTTCTCTTTTTTTTGGTCTTTTTTGCCATCGCCCGCTTTGGCCTCCATCTTCTCTGCTTTTGCCTCTGACTTTTGAGTGCCTTTTGCTGCGCTGAGGGCAGCTTGAAGTCCTTTGATCTTTTCATCTGACATCTGTGGGTCTGTTTTCACAGAACATTGACCCACTGTCAACGGGAGGGGTTCCTTCTGTGGCACAGAAGTGCTGTCAGATTTCGACTGAGACTTCTCAGTTTTCTTTTCTTGTTCATCCGAACCTTTGTCATTGGTGCCACCCGTCGAACGACCAGTCTCTGATCCAAAATGGAGTTGCACCTTTGTGTCGTCAAACGTAGTTTGGGCCGAGCCGGAGCTTCATGTTTCTGGGTTTCTTTTGATGATTGATCTTGATCCTCCGGCCATGGACAGTGAACGAATATGGAAATACTTGGAGTGTGCAAAACTGGTCAGGCCTCCTTCGACTTCGTGGGACCAGACTGGCAGGCATGATCCTTGGGACCGGTGTCGCAGTACAGTAACAGGATTAAGGCATACATGGCATACCCCAACTAAGAATCTTACTCCAGCGCGGCGTGCTCTTGGGGTGACCAACGCCACAGGGCTTTCCTCGGACACCTTGCTCAGATCCTTGCACAAAGATTGGAGACCCGCAACTACAGGAGTCACTCAGTTTTTGTATTACCTCTTATGCCAAAAAAGGGTTTAATAAGCGAAGAGTGTGAACTTTGAATCGTTTATTTGTGGTCCTGGTCAAAGCCATGGGCGGCGAGCAAAGATTCCAGAGCAGACATGTTGGACCAGTGATCAAAATCACTCTCAGTCTCTTCTACTCCGAGAATCTAACTAAAAGCAAGCACAGATTGAGAAAAACAGCTGAAAATTCAAAGTCAATAAGTTGGCCGCCAGGTGTTGTGCTTGGAATGCAGCAGCACGTAAAAATTGAATAGCGGTAGCGACTCAAAACTTGTTCCCGAATCACCCGAATCCGAAGAAAAACTAAAGCCGGGAGTACTGTGATTGTCTTGCCTTCTCAGGGCTGCAACCTTGTCGGACTTGATCCACTTTGAAGGACCATGGGCAATCTGGTACTCCATGGATGATAGGGTCGCTTTGGTATGTGCTACCTCAGAAGCTGTCCCATGTTTCCCAGCCTCCGTGCAGTGAGATTAGATCTCAGTCCAAAACTCCTGGTCCTATGAAAAGACTGACTTCAAAATGAAACACATTTCGTACTAGACACAACAGCCATGGTGCGACGAACAGTTTATACCGTTGGTTCTCCACAGCTTGGTGATAGCTCCCATCACGGCCCTTGGCCTGGACGATCACCAGGGTCGTGCCCACGGCCCGGCCCACAAATTTCGCTTCTATAATGTAGCGATCTGTGAGCTCATCGAGGGTTTCCGGCTCCCCCGTCCACGGCTCCACAATGGCCTTTGAATCCTCCTCCTCCTTCTTGGCTGCAAGGGCGAGGGCTGCCTTTGCATCCTCCTGAGACTGGGCGCCATACCTGAGTGAGTCAAGGCGGTCCGTGGGTCACAGAACTGTGGTCATGACCATGACAGTCAGCTTTTTTGGGGATGAAGGTTTCCGAAGAAATCCAAACGACAATTTTTATAGTAGCCTGATAGACTCACTAGAAACGAAATGAGGTTTCTCCTTACTTTAAGACAAATAACTTTGCGTCAAAATCCCGAAGAAGATCTTTCCACGCTTCTCCAAACACTGGGTCATCCACATGCCGAGCCCGTACAGCCGGTGGAAGGCTCACTCGAAATTTTTGCCATCCTTTTGCAGAAGGACTTGAGTCATAGTCCAGCTTAACTAACCGCAATGGGAACTTGGCTGGATCTACATCCTTTCCCACTGGCTCGGGCGGCTTTGGTTCGTACGCACGCACAGGGCCAAGGGTCTTGTGCTGGCCCGACTTCCACTCCTGGCTGACAAGGCAGGTCGTTTGGAATTGGGGAGCCCTTGGGGATCTTGCGGGACTGAAAGTAAAGTCTATTTTATTGAGACCAATAAGGCCAGTCTTTTTGGACATTAATAAGTTCCGTGCTAGAATGTGCTTAGAATAAAAACAAGTCCGGTGATAAGAGTGATCAGTCCTCCATCAACTGCAAAGCCAAACTCTTTTCCACATACTCCACGGTGGCCAATGTTTTAGTCAAGCTCAGGGATTTGAAAGACATGGCAGGAGCCCCCACTTCTGACCATTTCTTGCAGGCTCTTTCCACCCACCCGTCATATGTTGTCAGGTTGATCAGTGCACACGTGTCGCTGTTGATTTGGCTCTTTGCAAACAGGGCCGACAACAAACTGACCGGCATCGTTTCTCCAGCCAGGAGTTGTGCTGCCTCCTGCACGTCACTGAGGGACCTGGCGTCAAAGACTCAGCTGTGACCGGAACCGAGACAAAATAAAAATCATCGGAAATTATTGTTCTTCTGGTCTGGGTCTAGTACATTTAAGACTGAATGTGATGATGGCAAAATTGAATCATTGGCTGATTGCGAACAGCAACTAGCTACCTATTGGCACAGATTGAATCTCAGACGGAGCAAGCCTGACACCTTCACTGGCGTGCGGAAGTGCATCCTTTGACGCCACAGGAACAATGTAAGATGCCTCCGGCGCCCATGGGAGTTCTCCTCGGTTCGACCTGGCGGACGTTGGAGGCCTGATCTGGCTCATTGGACCGATTGGACACTTTTTGGCCTTTTAGCATGATGTCCTTCATAAGTACTTGAAATGACGATTAGCTAGAAATCAAGAGACAGCTTCTGGTTATTATGGAGGTTGACATTGCATGGCATACTGGAACCCCGGACCCAAGCCTGTCTTGGATCAATTGGCAGCTGGAAAAGATGTTCTCCACACCATCCAGCATCAGAACCCAACCATCAAAATGCAAAGGGACTTTGCGCTTTCCTGTTGGAGTAGCGCACCGGATCGATATGCTCTGAAGTTTGAAGCCTTTGGCATCAAATTTGTCCTCCCATCGCCTGCAGGACCGAGTCCAAACTATGTTGCAACGCCACTTGAAGATGAATGTTCTTTTTATGATCCCTTGGTGGTGTTGTTCTTTTGAACTGAACTCCAAATACTGCTCCGAATGTAATAATCTGACCCATTGGAATCAACAAAATTTTGCAGTCAGTCCTCAATTCTCCCCTGTAGCCAGCAACCTTCTCAGAAATCAGGAAAGGTGCCACAACGATGGCTGCAGTTTTACCCGGGTTCCTCTTGATGATTGTCGCCAAGACCTCGCAAAAGTCGTGAACTTCGGTCCCAGTCAACCGGCCACACTTCATCAGGTCACACCATACCACCACGGGGCACTGATGGAATCGAGCCAAGAACTGCAGGGAAGCAAACATATTGTGAGCGACTAGCCTCACATACCGACCCCTAATATAAATGATCCTAATGATGATTGTTTATTTGTGGCTGGTTTAGAGGGCCTTGTAATGAGCTGGACAATGAAAAACAACTTGCAGTAGAACACCCATTTCGGCTTTGAACCCCGAGCCCGTTCAGCAAGCGAGATCTGCTCCCTGCATGTGCCAGCATGGACCGACATGTTGCTGTTCATGAACTCAGAAACCAAAGCAGCACCAATGCAGTTCTGTCCTCTGAGGTGTGTAATTCGAGCCGTGCGGGCAGCGCTTTCTGTTTTGGCAACCTCCCGGTATAGAGTGCCGATCTGCGCAATGTCGCGTGCAAGCGCCAACTGGTCGGCATCGTACTGTGCCTTTCGTGCTTCAGCCGTCAGCGTTTGGATGCCTTCATCAGCTTTGTCAACCCTTTCCTTGGTCCGGTCCACTCGTTTGGGAGCATGCTCTGTGTAGAGTGAGGTTTGCTCCATCGTGAAGCTGCTGTCCAAAGTGCTGAGAAAGCTCTCCGCTTCGGCGTTGTAGTCCCTTGGAGAGGCTTATTATGGTAAGTGAGTGCGGACTCTATTTGATATTAAATGACACCTATTTGGTGAACACCTTAACCACATTGTCATGCCCCTCTCCCAGGCAACCAAGATGCCCCTCCATGGCGCGATTGCGTGCACTTGACAGCACACTGTCGTGAAAGAGAGGTTGACCGAGATCGTCAACACAGGCTGCCATTTCTCCCAAGACATGCTGCGCAAAGCACATCTTGTCACATTCGCTGTTCCACTCCTGGAGAGACATCCTGACACTTGCAGCTTTGCCGGCACGGCGTGTTGCGACGGAATGGATAAATTGCACACGGTCGATGAACAGCTCTTGTTTCTTCTCATCCACAGTGAGGATTTGGTTCCAAAGGTGGTGCGACCTGGCTGAAGCATCTCGCGGCGCACCCTCCAGCAACCACCGAGAGTCAAGGAGCAAGGTGTTGGAGAAGGCTGCAGGGGCCCAGGGTCAAATAACTTGGCCAGGAGGTGGCTTCTATCTAGTAGCAATGAACCTATGTTCAGAATCCCCTACATTATATTATATCCGCACCCGAGCGCCTAAAGACTTTTAAACAATTGACGGATACAGTGATGAACTTGGGGATCATTGGACATCTCCATTTTAACCCGCCGCCTGATGACTCAAACTTGTGGAAGTGCAGGTGCTTCTCCAGCTCGCTGAAGACCACTCGGCTAACACCAACCTCGAGTGGCTGTTTTGCAAATAGCGTGACAGCGTGTGGTCCACGAAGGATTTATATTTCAACCCACAGACCTGTTCCGTGGATAGTTGGCAAACAACCCCCCTGTTAACTTGCCGGATTCAAGGGTCCTAGTCAATCTCACACTGACAAGGAGGCATGTTTTCTTTTATGAAACCAACATTCAATTCGATCGGGGGTGGGGGATGAAACTCAGTGCCAAGCTGCTTTGAATCCATACAGCTGCATCTGAGAGTTCGAATCCACTTGAAACCGGCGGTTGATTTGAGCAAGGCCAAACCCATTGTACTCCGCAATGGCATCAAGAAACGCATGCTTATAATTGTCGGCATAGGTGGTTGGATCCTGACAAAGGGCCAGGGGTTACCAAACGAGTGAGTTGTTTATTGTATGTGGAGTCATCGGGAGTCATTTTTGAGACTTTAAAGAAAAAACATGGACTTGGACTTAAAGAACATGTCCTTGCATTGTAGCTCTCGTGCCCTTGAGTCAAAGATGAGCACCTTCTGGAGTACGTTTTTGCGCTGTCTCTCGCTTTGCTGCTCGTGCACTTGAAGCCTCCTCCACACACATTGCTCAGGCGTTGAATTTGTGAACTTGCACTTTAAGATCTTGACGGAGTTCAACCACCTGCCCAAAAGGCAGGATCCGCAGCCCGAAACCGTGAGACTATACCAGACCACTATACCACCCTGTCCAGATCCCTAGAATTCCCCAAAATAGATAAAAGGGTCACGTAAATTTTTTGAGGTTTCCAATTTTCTGAGACGACGTTCCCAGTGGAACCATCACGTCAGCTCTCCCCGCCCGGACACCCCGGACCATGGTTGGCACCTCCCAAAATAATATTTTGCGTCAGAAATATTTAGAAAATGGGCTGGACTTATTGAATCCTATTGAATTCAAACCTTGGACCAGCCTGACCAGTCTTGGATCTGACTCCATCCCTGGTAAGCTGAGACGACGTTCCCAGTGGAACCATCACGTCAGAAAACTGAAGTTTTGGGCTCCCCAAGACGACCCTTTTATATATTTTGGGAATTCTTGGGTAGGTTCGGAACATATTCCCAACTATATATTATGTTTTTTGGGGTGTGTTTGGATCTTATTCCCAAATATATATTTTGGGTTCTTTTTGTGGATAGAATCTGACAACTAATTGGAAATTCCATGGCCTGATGAAGTCAGTCTGCATTTCGCAGTCCATTTCATCCTTGTGCAGGTAGGCCCAAAGAACTCCCCACATGATAACGCTTACTCTGCCAAGACCTTTGACTGCAATCACTGAGTGGAAATGCATTGGACTACCAGGCTTGAAGTTGACCCCCTTCACCTCCAGCACTTCACGCCAACACTCATATCCACGGTGCCAAATATCTTTGGCCACAGCCACCCACAGATGATATAGCGGTAAACCATCCGGCGGCCGTTGGAAAAGTATGCAGAGCAGCGGCACGTCCACGATGTCCTCCACGTCAGCCTAGTAGGAGAAAGATAAAGGTCGGCTTGCTTCTTACAGACTGATTAGTTGGTATTATGGTATTCCAACAACATGGTGATAGTGTCCCATGTTCTTATGTTGTCTAGAACAAAAAATAGTTAAAGGCTTAATAATATAATATCATTTGAGAAACTGGAAACTTGTAGTCTTTCGGATTCGGAAAGTTAGGCATGAGCTGCTCCAGCCAAGTTTGAATGGGCTCATAGAGTGGCGCTTTGAACTTGTCCAGCAACATTTGGACTGGGTGATCTCCGACATCAACATCAAAGGTCCTCGCGTTGGGGAAGCCACAAACCATGGACCAACTATTGAAAACAAGGACATGAACCCAACCTCACCGGCGGAAACATCAGCATCCCCCTAGGGCAAAAATTCCACTATCCACTGGGGTCCTGCAGTAAACACCAGAAAGCTCTAACTCTAAAGTCTAAGTCTGAACCCAAATATCAAAGACCTCTCAAGGTTCACACAAATGACAGGGTGTGCATGGAGAACGAATCGGAGGCAAGTTATTGGTTTCTGAGCCAACCCCTCAACAACAAACATTACCAACAAGTATGCTTAGTAACTTGGCTTGTTCATAGGTCTTCGCTGCCCAAACAGCTGTCGATGGACAAGACTTCACAGTCTTCGCGCGAGGCCCAGCATCGAACGCATTTGGCAGCTCTCGCTTGACCATTGTCCAAGCGCCCGGGCCCAACCGGGAGCCTGTGAGGAGCCGGAGTGCTGGCGGGTACTATATTCTATATATAGCATGCATAGCACCAAAGTTTATGCATCTGAAAGGTAATTGGAGGGCTGACAGGTTAGCACTTTTCTGCAAAGCATACTGTCGTCTAGTTATAGCATCACGAATTATGATCCTCCGGTTGAACTTCGAATTGAGGCGCTCCCAGCCCAACACACGAAAAGTTTGCTGTCAGACCCATTTAGTTTCGTATCAAGCGGATTGTTCACAAAGACTGCAGGTATCCATTGCACAACATATTATTTCATTTGGGCTCTAGAGACAGGCATGCTGCTAAAAGGACCATTCCAACACAAACAGAATTCATAGAATTACCAGCCATCTTTGACTGCTGGCCAGTAGAAACACCGTCTAAACACAAGGCCGGCGCACTGCAAATCCGGCTCTGGTCAAGTGTAGTCGGCAATATGTGGGATGACAAAAGTTCCTTCGAAGACACAAAGCGCTTCTTGTCCTGGGGCTGGAATGATCATTGAATCGTCATGTAAATAGACATGAACACTTACCCAACTCAGTCAGATGATGTTTCCAAACCATGAACAAGACAAATTGACAAAGACTGTCCTCACTGAATAGCTTCGTAGATGTGGTTAGGGTGCACAAGGTCTTGTCAGCACACTCCCCTCGGCCCCTCCCGTTCCGTGGATACTGCGACATGTCAGGAAATCGGACGGTCTTCAGTCGTCGATAGTCAGCCAAATTCCTTGCCTAAGCAAGACAGACAAGTTGTCACTGTCATCATTAAATATATTCTTTGGTTGAAGCACTCAGGACCCTATAAATAAGCACCATATTTTGATCAGAGTACTTGAGCTTCAGAGAGAACCGATGCAGGTAGCTTCTCCCACAGAAACATGTCAGCAGTGGCAATAGTCTTTGCTGTCAGGATCTCAACAATCTTCGTCAACGACCTGGAAGACTTGGTTGCTTTTAAAACCGACCCCAGACCAGTGACTCTTTGTTGTCATTAGGTGTTTATTGCAACACAAGGCAGTGCATCCAAAACACACGTCACGGCGTCGCTTCACGGTGGCCTCATTGAAGGCCAGTATGTACAGCCTTGCCCGCGAGGCGGGGACACCAAGCACTCTGGGATCCACAACCACAGATTCCGTGCTCCATCCAACTAGGTGTTGACGAGCGATTTCTTCCGAGTACTCTGGAACGTTCTCAATGATCATGATGTCAGATATTTGTTTCATGGAATCGTAGTAGCTGCTGTGGGTCACAAAACGGGGATCGTCAGTACCAGTTCGGCGTCCCATTCTGCTGAAGAGAGTGCAAATTGGACCTTGGTTTGTTATACATCAATGTACAGCCCACCAAACCTCGATGTTGAGTATTATGTTTTAAATTGAAAGTACGGTGTGTTTATATTTTCCATCAGTTGGAACACCGAATGAGGCCGATACCGGCTGCATTGACTCGCAGTCCTTGGAGCTGGCTTTTGGGGGCGAAGGCTGGAATCCTAGGAACAACACAAGTCTGTCTTAAACGTTACTGACTTTAGATCCTGTGTCATCATTCCGCTATGCGCATTCCAACTGAGAGTCGGTTCCGTACATGATATTTCTGCACCGGGCACATCTTCTGGTGGGTGCTGCAGTATTGAGTCTTTCTTGCTGGATTAAAGGATGTGATGTCAGGCCAGTTGCATGGACTCTGGTAAGTGTTCATGAGGACCTTTCTGCAGTGGGGATCAATCTCGCAAGTGAACTCGAAGAGAACCTTCCGATGCACCGGTTTCCGGGCTCCGGCGGACTCCAGGAAGATGCCCGCAGCCGCTTCCAAGCTGGTCACGGCCTCAACCAGAAGCGCCAGACCAGCAGTAACCCTGAGGCTGGGTGAAAAAAGTTGTCAACAGAATTTGAGTTTGGGGCAGATTCTGGTGCTCCAACACCGGAAAAGGCGGACGAAAACGTCCACCGCCACAAGCGTAACCTCTTACACAGCCACGGGGTGCCATAATGCTTTGCCACCTTTTGCAAAAAAACATCTGGCCAGCGAAAGGCTTCCCTCAAGGTTTTGAATCCAGCCGGATGTTGGTCTGAGGCGGCTGGAACTGTAGTCTTCGGATAAAAATGCCTGCAGGTGTGATCGAAGCAGCATGCCGCACACATGCCGCACATGCTGTCACATGCTCACCCCAAAGCAGCCTCCCGTTCGAAACCTTGTTCTTGAGGTGGACCTTCTTCACGTCCTTGCCGGTCCTGTCAGAGTCCAAGGGGCGTGTTCTTTAAATTTCATTTGTTTGGTCAGCCAGGCCTTTGGGTGTTTTTCTGGTTTAAAGCCTTCTTGGATCGACATGTTGGGCTCCTGCGCTAAAAGTAGAGTCAGTTTGAAGAATGATACGATGTCGACTTCGCAATTAGACTAGCAAGGCGTGATGGCTCCTGGACATCTTTCCAGCGAGGATGCTCCGCACTGCGTTCCTAAGGTCTACCGCCATCTTCCTTGAATTGCTCTCACAGTGTCAGGATTCCAAGACTGGCAGTGAGTGCAACAGCTTCTTCGATCAACGCATTCAATGTTAAAACAAATGGTCACATCTATTTTTTATTGATTGATTTATAATAAATAAAAGATAGATGCGACCAAAGCATGCAATGTTTTCATCTTTTGCTCTTCTCACAAGCCCCGTTCCTGTGTTTCACAGACCTAGTGGCTGACAGACTTGGAGACTAACTGCCAGCAAAAAGGCTATGACCCATGTCTCGCAGATTACTAATTAAGTTACAATGCCGTTCACCGCCTCGTCCTTTTTCGAGGCAGTTGGCGAACATCTAACTTGGCCTGCCAAGGCTGACGATTTGTCACAGAGAGTGCATGGGACCCCTTCACATGGGACCCTCTCATTCTTAACTGACTCTGGGGACACTCGTGACCTACTCTTCAACTACTCTTATCTACTCTTGGACTACTCTTATCAACTCTTAAACACTCTTAACTACTCTTGAGTACTCTTAACCTACTCTTTACTACTCTTGACTACTCTTGACTACTCTTAACAACTCTTAACAACTCTTAACCTACTCGTACCACTCTTAGCGATTTTTCGGTCACTCTTAGCCACTCTTAGCAACTCTTCACCACTCTTGAGAACTCTTGAGTACTCCTATCAACTGCCAGTGCATCACTGAGATGGAGGCGGCTCAAGAAGGGGAGGTGGCGCCGGTGACAGAGGCTCTTTGGAAGACTGAGCACTCTGTCACATGTAGAAACTTTCCATGCCACCTGTTCCCCGCCATGAGCCCTACACAACAATGCCAGTGGGTGGCTATGGATTTGTGGTGGGCAATAAAATGTGACATGCACTATGCACGTGCGGATGATGAACGACGTAAGCATAGACACTAGGTCTCAGGCAATTTAAAGTTTCCCGTTTTTTTGTCAGTTGAAAAGGGGCAGGCTTGAAGGTTTTGAAGCCTAGCTACTCACAAACCCAGGAAAGCAGCTGAACAAAAGGCTTGATTCGGTGAAAGACTTTCACCATCAAATTTGGCCAGGGCAGCCAGTACAAATACTGGAATCCCTTAGAGTCAGTGAGAGGAGTCATGTTCAAGGTCGTCGTCGGGCAATTGCAAGAGGCCGCAACCCAGTTGCTTGTCATCAATCCAGTCGAGACTCCGAGAAGCAATCAACTCTCAAATAAATTTATATGTTTTTTTGGGGGGGATCACCTGTGACTGTGCACTGGACCTGACTCACTGACTGACCTGGACCAGACCTGACCTGTCACAGTGGGCCTCTACTTAGAGTCAGAGTCAGTCTAACTAAGGTTGAACCTGCACAGCGTATATTCATTGAGAAAACATTGCCCACATCAATGGCAATTGCTTTAGCTGGCTGGGCATGCAATATACGGAACTTGCCAGGGTCGAATGCCAGAAAGACCGCTTGGCACTTTCTAGGTTCTTTGGTGGACAAATGCCTGCGCACGGGACAGTTCCAGGTCACTGTTTGGCCAGAGATTAATGGAAACTCGGGCTTTAATCACTTTTGTTTGGAACACTTGGGACACCATGGACTGACTGACTGACTGACTGACTGACTGACAGATTGAGAAGGATGGTTGGCCCACTAAACTATAACTAGTAGGGTGGCTGCTATGAACCGGTTGAACCTGCCATCCAAAGAGTAGACAACTGCCATCCAAGGAGTGGTGACACAGATGTCCTTCAACCTGCGCCCTGGCGAACCTTTTCCACTGCAGTGGATGACTCTTGATAGCTCGGTTCTGGCTGTTTGGGACAATGAGCGAACCGCCTTTCAGCTGAGCCAATGCAATTGTTTTACTTTCTGTATGGAATACTAGACCAATTAACTGGGACTGACTGAGGAGGCAGTCAGTCAGTTATTCTACTGCTTGGGCTATGAATCAGTCGTTGAACTTAGGATGACACCAAGCCATGGGTGACAACAACTCCTGGAGCTGCCTCACTGGATTCAGTGATAGCATTTTCAATCGATCCGCTCCTTGTCACCAAACATTCAAACATTGCAGGTTCAACTTTCAATCTCCAGTGAACTTCTGTCCAACCTGCAGATGATAGTTGAGGGTCTTACCCCAGTCCTCATGAGTATTTAATTGAGCAGGGGCACAAATAAGTGACATTGAATTAACATGTTGATTCATCCATTCATTCAAGGCAACATCGTGATCCTCCCCGCGGTCATAGTCGTCCCTGGAAGGCGCTCAAGGATAGAGTGCTGGCAGTACTCTCACAGATTGCTGCATTCCTGGAGTCTTTGGCTTCAGTCAGTCAGTCGGTCGACGTTTTAGCTTTGAACCAGTCAGTGTCCAATTGCCAATCAGATCAAACATGTCGAAACCTTGATCATAGGCTTATTTTATTCAGATTTCACAATTACAATACTAAGGATGCACACATTGAAGAGATCTCCGTGGAAACACATCGTGGTCGACAGGGGAAGAAGAGGACCAACCTGAGTTTGAGGGGCAAGTATCAGGTTCTGGATGACGTCCGAAGGGGGAGGCCAGACCCATCTAATTCTGATAGAACGGATTCCAACTGTAACCATGAAGAAATCTTCATACAGTCAAGGTTGGGAGTCTGAACCCATCATGTCACAGTTTGATGTTTTACTTTCTCATGTCAGACTGGAGTCCAAATGGCCATGACGAGTCACTCATGGCCTGGATGGAAGGTTTTTCACCATCACCAAGAGCTTGCTCGACAAGAAGTTGAAGCTGTCCATCTATATGCTGGCGCACTGGTACATGGCACTTCGACTAAGTTTCTAAATATGGCCCTGTACTAGACCCATTGGGCTGTTGATAGTTGAGCAGGCTCAGCCATTGGCCCTGCCGACCAAGGTCGTGTACCTCGACAAGGCCAAAAAGAACTTTGGGCCATGTCCGCACCTTCAGGCATCTCAGCTCTTGGTCAGCATGTCATAGCATACCTCAAGTTCCAAATTCATTTAGAACAGTGAGTCAGTCAGGTCTTTCAGTCTGTATGTCTGATTGAACACTGTTTGTTTGTCAGCCAATTAATTTATTAGTTAGTTCTGAGCATCTGAATGACACCAAAATATACATTGACTAGTCTGCCCAGGTATCCTTTGATGGGAGCTCCATTCAGAAGGTGCCGGTGGAACTGTACAAGATTCACAGCCACTGGTTTGAATCTAGCAGCATGACCATTTCATTAGCAAGTAACCCTACTATTATACTATACCATGAGTCATGGGTAAAGTTAGTACTAACTATGCCGCTGTTGTGTCACATTAACTGCAAATTAATCATGAATCTAGTCAGCTCATGAGGAGGTTGAACTTATTTACACAGACAGTCGCAGCTCAGGTCCTTCTCTCAACTTGGGGGCATTTGGGCCGCCGCTGGAAACTTGACCTGAGATTAACCGACCGATGAACTGGTATTGATTAAGGAGTTGGTAGACGGTCGGAGCAAAGCCGGTCGGTTGGTGTCACCATTGCAGTGATTGATGCATGAACATGCACAGGCTCCAGAGTGTTACTGACTGCATTATCATCACAGACTGTGACAGTCAGAGTGTGGACCATGAATGAATGAGACAACTAGTTATTTTTTGAAACGCGACTGACTCAGTAGTGAATCGAACCACCATGATATAATATATAATAGCCAAATGAATGATGAATCAATAATGATAATTAATTAATTTAATTATCAGGCAGACAAAACAGACAGTCAATTCAATGTTTTTTGACATCCATGCCAGCTGCTGACTGACTTGGCTGTGGCTGGCGCTGCCATGACGGATTCAGTCACGGAGTTCAAGCTGGATCCACTTGGTGCTGACTTTGATCCAGGTTATGATGTTGACATGGACACTGAAGTTGACGGTGACGATGATATGGGCCGGCTTTTGGACGACACTCCGGTGACAGAGAGTGACAATGAACTTCCAGGTACTCAGAGTTCATTTTTCCTGGAGGACTGGCGCTGGAGTCACATTGAATAATGTTCATGTCATTGCATTGAATTGAAGGCGAGGGTGTGTTGTTCAATAATGGTCAGCAGTAAGTAGAGTCAAGCCATGTCAGCGGCATCCCCTTAGGATCATGACTGGAGTCCACTTTGTCAAGCAGCACGTGGTATAGAAACAGCATGGGAGATTACATGCAACGAGATTCCACTACAATCACTGACAGAAATTTGGAAGCAACATTTTGTCCAGATTCTCTATGTTTGCTTTTTTATTTGACAATAAATAGTGATTTGTGGTAAGTTAAGCCTTCTCAGACTCTGTATCCATCACACTGGTAAGGAGTCATGGCTCGCGCATGCACAAGCCGCCAGCAGCTTTTGTTCAGGGTGTGGCACTGCAGAAATGAGCCGGGCAATCCTTGAAAGGGACATCAACAATAGTGGCAAGGTTCCTTTCAGAGTCTCCATACCTACAGTCTGTGTGTGGGAGGCTTGTCAATAATATAATCAATTTATATTTTATTTATTTAAGAGGTCTTTTTTAATTTTATGTTGACTGACTCCACTGCCACTGCTGACTCACTGACTGTCACGCTACTACACTAAGGAACGAGATGCTAAGTGCATCAGCCTACTCAAGGAGGCCTTTTCTTGGTGCGAGGCTGTGGCAGGGCACAATGCAGC